ATCAGAGATAGAGCGTGGCCTGACGATTGCATATAGCATGAAACAGACTGTCGCCTCTAAGTGTTGACTTCTATGTTCACTTTTATATATATATATATATATATATATATATATATATATATATATATATTCTTTATGTACTCACGTAATATACACACCCACAGAAAGCTATGTATACATTCTTCATGGTATAACCATTTAGAAGATTCTATCAAAATATTTATCCAAAATCAGACAGATGTATGATTATATTTTGAAAAATACTTCAACACTCAGTGTTCTCAAAATGCAACCATTTGTCTTTGAAAGTATGTAATTGACTATGAGCTCTTTTCACAATAACTTGTGACAATTATTTATATAAAAAATTCAAAAATTGTCACTATAGAAATCCTGTGGATAACTTGCCTTCATTTTCGTAATGACTTAAATGAATATAACTAGAAAACTGAGTTAATATTCTATTTTCTTTGTATTAAGTTTTGTTCGAAGTGAAAATATAGCAGAAAGAAAAATGGTTTCTTGCATCTTGCTAGCTTTGAGAATCATCGATAAAACACCCGCTCTTTACCTGAGCTTGAAAACTGGTGCCAAATTTCGAAAATAGGCAATTATTTCAAAAAGCGAGCGAATTAGTAAAAAAAAAAAAAAAAAACTATATGAAATTATTAAGGTTTGTTGTTTATAGTAGTTTATTTACGTTGGAAATAATAATCTTTATTATACCGACTACAAAAAAAACGAATATTTCTTTAAACAAGACTTCCCAAGCAAGGCAATAATACCATTAAGAGTCAAGGATTTATTCAGTGTTGGAAAATATGAGAAAAAGAAAACATTATTAAGGAAAGAGAACAATGAAGAACAGGGATTAAAAAGACACAACATAGCGAAGATGTAAATTGACTGGAAAACAAGAGATTTCAACATACAATAAGTACGTGGGAAGAAACGATTATCATAGAACTTACGGTTGCATCTTGTTATGTGAAATGTAAGAAGATGAGACCTTCCACCAATCTAGTAATACGCTTAAATTCATAAAGTCTAGGTACCAAAGAGGAAAGTTCATCGGAATAATCAACATTAAATATTTATAGAAAAGGCAAAGGGAAGCTATGTTACGGCGGTGTGAAATTGACTGATGTCTGGATCGATAACACTGCAGCTTCTTCTTTGTATTTTATTCTTTCGTTTTTTTTATGTGCCATGTCCTTTCAGGACGTGGATGATCATGGCTCTCTACTTTCCCCTATCCTTTGTAGCCCTCAATAAGTTTCGTCCCTTTGCCACCGCCCCCAGACCACGTTCTGTCATCCACTTTCCCGCCAGGTATGTCATGCGTTGCTTTCCTTTGTCTCTCTTTCTCTCTATTTGACTTAATCTCTAAATATATGGCAGACGCACCAGATCATATTTGACTGCAATATTCATAGCGTAGACGAATGGTAGATTTATAAATGTATAAGATAGATTCTTGCCAAAGAAAATTGTCTAAGAAGACATAGGGAATAAACTTGCCTTGCATCAAGCCTATCAAGTGATTCAATATAATCTTTCCAGTTCATGTCAGCGGAAAATGTTAGCACGAGAAAACGTAAAGCGTAAAAAAACAAAACAAATGAAAGATATAACATCTGCTATATTCTGCCATCTTTGAAAATCAACATTCTGCTCCTGACGTTTTTGTATTTTAATCGAACACATAATGCAACTATCTTCGTTTGTAATAAATAGTTAAGTTTATTCCATTTGGGCGTGGGATGTCCAGATATAATATTTTTTATGATAGAATATTTATTTGATTCCTTATAAAAGCGAGAAGGAAGGACTAAACATTAACTCTAGCAAAAATACAGTCCACAGTGTGCACTACAAAATGCATAGATCAGAATCAAGCAATTACGTAAATTTAACTGTTTGTGAAAAGTTATAATAGAAGACAAAACATGACACAGCAATATGAAAACACCTTGGAATATCGTTAAAATACCTTCAAAAAACTAAGCAAAGTATAGAGAGACAGGAAAATCTCGTCAGAAACGATGATAAGAGGACTGAAATATAATGTAATATTAGTTCTTCTGTAGGGCAGTGAAGATTATATTTTCTCCTCACAAATGAAGATCGGGATTCGAGGTAACATACATATGGTTATACATAAGGGCGCGGAGAATACTATAGACGATGTGAGTAACGATAAAGTTTGAGGGAAAATGAAAACAAGAAAGACACATTTAAGTTGAAATTTCTTAGACACATGACGAGGAAAGAAGGCTTAGAGAATCTGACATCCAAAGGATATAATAAGGGGAAGATAGAAAAATCGATTAATCTAGTTAACGAGTTTGTGTCAATGAATGGCCGAACAAGAGACAGGGGAATTCTTAAGGGAACAAGCATTATTAGAAGTGAAACTGATAGGATGTTGTGGTGAGTCATGATGGCCCTGATCTTGAAGTGAGACAGTAGGGAAAAAAAAAGAATATTAACTTTCTCAATTCGACGATTT